ATGAGGTGGATTGATTCAGTGACTGGGATAATTGGCATGGGAGTGTCAGAGACAGTGCGATTGGCTCAGGACAGAGCGGAGTTTAGGGCTGTTGTACATAGGGTCGCTATGAGTCGCAGGCGACTTGATGGCACATATCAACAACAACAACAGATGAAAGAGAGGTTGTTGAGGAAGTCTGGGGATTCTAACTTGAGTGTCTAAGGAGCATTGATTGATTGATAGTGTTATCTATCAGGAGATTGATAGATAAGATTACCATGGATCAGGGGACAAGACTGGGTCAGGGGAAATGCCCTTACTGAGAGGGAATACTAGGAAAGAAGTATGAACTAGAATTAACATACTAAGGCAAAGAGTCTCAGCAGACATCCATGTGTGCAAATCTGTGGCTTAGAGGCATCACCTGGCCTGGATATTTGCATGTATGTCTGGTCTGTATAGGACATGGAAAGGGCAGATAAACTGGCAATGATTATTTGGATATTTTGTATTGATACGCATTGCATGTCCCGGTACAGAGTACGTCAAAGATAAATGAGAATGGCTTGTAGCTTGCAGAAATTTCATCTTGCATTAAATAATGTGTGAGTTATAACAGCACTCTGTCCAGCATGAAAGAGTTGAGTTAAAAATACAGATGTGGGGAGCTCTGATGGCTTAGTGACAAGAAGCTGCACTGCAATTTCAGAGGTGCACAGTTCGAATCCACCAGATGCTCTGCTGGAGAAGGAAAGGCAGTCTTCTCCTGTACCATTCAGATCTGACTTGACAGTACACACACACACAAAAGAATAATAAAAACATTATTATATAGAAAAAAACAAAACAACAAACTACAGATGTGGGTGTCACATGTGCCCCTGGTTTGAATTTGCTTTTAGCATCTTTGGTGCTTCCAAATGTTGCTGGTTATCGTAACAGCCACAGCAAAGTTCAAAAGAAACATAGATGTACTGGCACCCCATTGTGAAGAGCTGAGAAGAGAACATGCGATCATGAAATTACTTTTAAAAATCACGTTCTCTAGTCTGCTTCTGCCAAAATGTTTCTGCTGGTTGGTGGCCAGCTCACAAAAAACAAACAAAAAAGCACAACAACAACAAAAAAACCCAAAACCTAAAAAAAAAAACCCCAAAAACAAACTACCACTTCAAAATGTTTGTGTTACTATTTAACTGTGCTGAAGCTTTCCAATGTTAATACAAAGGTCAAATCCCCCACGATTCTCTTGTGTACCAAGCACCTGCTACGCTCCTGTTGCTGAAGTTATTGGAATTCTCTGGTTCATTTTCCAAACATCAGCTTCTGGCTGACACCTAATTTTGTTGTAGTCCCTACAGACAGACTAGAAGAATGTTGTGTAGACCTGTGTTCTCCATATGGAGTCATGGAAATAATCTAATTATTATCTAGTCTACATCGAAAACTTTTTTCAATCTGTAGGTTTAATCCCAAATAGATTTCTTGAGCATGTAATTTAGTATTCTCTGATCAGTCAACTCTCTTGGTACCAGCAGTCAGGAGACTAGGAGATACATTGCATTGGCAAAGTCTGTTGTCAGGGACTTCTCCAAAAGATTGAAGAACCATATTGTCAGTTTGAAGACTAAGGTGTGCCTGATTCAGGTCATGGTCTTTTCAGTCACTTGCTATGCATCTGAGAGCTAGACAATGAATAAGTTGTTGTTGTTGTTGTTGTTGTTGTTGTTGTTATGTGCCGTCGAGTCGCCTGCGACTCATAGCGACCCTATGTACAACAGCCCTAAACTCCGCTCTGTCCTGTGCCAATCGCACTGTCTCTGACACTCCCATCCCAATTATCCCAGTCACTGAATCAATCCACCTCATAGAGGGCCTTGATGCCTTTGAACTGTGGTGTTGGAGAGGAGTACTGAATGATCCAGGGACTGCCAGAATGTCTTGGAGAGGGTACAGCCAGAATGCTTCTTGAAGGAAAATATGATAAAATTTTGTCTGACATACTTTGAGCATATTGCTAAGAGATCCTATTCCTTGAAAAGGGACATCATGTGAAGGAGATGAAGACTCTCTAAAAACTTGTTGAAGGGTCAGCAATGAGTCAGTTCCAACTTGAGGATACACAACAACAATAATATGCATGTTTTTCTTTTTTTGGTATATGTCTTTCTGTAAATAAATGAGATAGTTTATTACCTGATATTTCAGAAAAATTAATTGTTTCAGAAGTCATTTTGTTTTCAATTCATTTTTCCCTTTTTAAGTTTCTGTTAAAAATTTTTTCAAAATTTCTTTTCAAAATTTCTGTTACTTGTTTTTTATACAAATATAACTTTCTTTTAAGTCTGTTTAGCAATTTTAATGCATAATAATGATAAACAATAGGCTTGGTCAATTTTTTTTGTATGATGTACCTCTTATAGGCTTGTGGTGATCATGGATAATATTTCTTTTACAAATGCTTGCATGGCATTTTATAAGCTTGCACGGTCTCCTTGAATATGGAAGAATGAGAAAGAGATAAAGAAGAAGAAGGAAAGTCAGAAAAGGAAGCATGCTATTCTTAATAATTATATTTTACCAAATCAGGCTAATGCTTATAGGGTTTTGTTTGAGTTTGATTTCAGTTTTCTTTTAAATTTGTTTTAACTAGGAAGGAATCATCAACATAATGTTTCTGATGAAATGTTTGTGTACACTTAATTTAAACATAGAGAGAAGATTAAATGACTAACATTGCTTTTTGTTTGTATTCTTACACTCAATTCATGTCCAGTGGGAAATGAGTTTTATAATACTTGCTTAAAAAGAAATTTCAGTGCTTAAGTAAATGGTTACCGTCCCATCGAGTAATACTGTTTCTTCTGGAAATCAAGTAGCTACCCTGTGATTTCTAAGAATCTGAAGATAAGAATACCTACTTTGTGTTTCCTGTTACACAGTAAGTCTGTCTTTTGCTTCCTCCACAGAATGATCTGAAGGTGCTGTTTACATCGCTGGCTGACAGCAAATACATCATTCTACAGAAACTGGCCAATGTATTTGAAAAGCCTGTGGCTGAACAAATAGAGGTATTTACAGCCTTTTTTTCCCCTTGAAATGGCATGGACAAATGTGTAAAGCAGGACTGATTTACTCAGAGTTTCCAAATATATGAAAGAGTAATTGCATTTTTTGCTTGTGTTTCATATGCTTTGTTTTCAAGTGCTGAATGGGTTCTATTGATTCTCATTGACTTTTTAAAACACCGAAATTTTGGAGTTCAAGTGAGTCTGTTACTGCTGCTGACCTAACAGCTTCCCTAATAGTGAGGTTTGGCACGGACCTTAATACGAGGTGGCAGAAATTCTTAGAAGAGTTTTAAAGCAATCTCGATGTTCAAAAGAGGGTGGACTGCTTGCACCAGGGAGGACTAGACAGGAGAGAGATTCGAACCAGATGGAGAATTTGGACACACAGAGATTAGGACATAGAAAGCCCCATAAAGAGTAGGAAAGAACAAAGGAGAAACATGAGAAAACGCAGAGCGTTTGGTGAAGAAGACTGAGTAAATCTACTCAACTCAGCTGACAGCACATTAAATATATTCAAGGTGTAAATGGGTGGGAGTTCGCAGGGCCTCAGAGAATTTCCACTTCTTTAGTGTATAGTCTACCAACTCTAAAAATGATTTGGAGAGCAAGAATGTCTTTCCTTGGATTTCTAATGTGAAATATAGGATCTACAGAATCATGAATAGCAAATTTGCTAATTATTGACCATTATAACTAAGGTTAATGAGAACAAGGTTGGAAAATGAGCAATTAGATTAGATGAGTATTGAATATACCATGGACTGTCAGGAGAAGAAATAGGTCTGTTTTGGAAAGGGTGAAATAAAATTTCCCCTTGGAGGGCAGGGTTTTGAAGTGCCATCTCACATACTTTGATCATGTGACCAGGAAACACCAGTCCTTGAAGAAGGATATAATGTTTGGAAGGATGGAGAGACAGTGCAGGAGAGGAAGACCCTGGCTGAGATGTTTTGACACAGAAACTGGGGCAATGGGGGTAGGTGTGCCAGAGACAGTGAGACTGGCTCAGGAGAGAGCAGGGTTCAGAGTATTGTACATAGAGTCACTATGAGTCACAGGCAACTCAGTGGCACATAACAATACTACACACAGAAAGCAAGTAATGAGATTACCAATTCCACCCATGCTCGTCAGATCTTGGCCTCCTTTTTATGCTATAAATCACGGATTCTTACAGCAGCCAGTCCTTGGAGAAGGACATCATGCTTGGAAGGGTGGACTGTCATTTTAGGAGAGGAAGACCTTGGATGTTAGGGATTGACACAATGACTATGGCAGTGGGGTCAGGTGTGTCCGAGTCGGTGGGGATAGGGCAGTGTTCAGAGCCATTGTTCATAGTGTCACCGTGAGTCATGATTGACTCTATGCCACATAACAACCACCTGTCTAATCATGCAAATACCCAGATCGTGTCCATCTGGGCACCTTATCACCTGTCTTTCCTCTCGCCCTCTCCCCATTATCCCTTGTTACTTTAATTTGTTTTAATGAATTCCAAACTTGATTGTCACACCATGTTGCCTTGTCAATCCTCTGTATTCAGAGCTCCTTTTCTTTTTAAAATTAAAATTTACTTTGTCACATTAATAGGTATTGTGCCTATTTACATGAATATGGATTTTATGACTCTAATTTCATTTGTTTTTCAAAGGGATCCCTTTGTGTTCCCCAAATTAAAATACTCTTTGATGTTTTTTAAAAATCAAATAGTGCTAATAAAACTGCAGCAGAAAAGATGGCTTCCTGCACTCTCCCTTCTGTTCTCTTTCCATTTTTGGCTCTTTTCCTTCTCTAGGTTTCTAACTGCTATGGACATTGTGTTGTCTTTCTTTTCATCCGTGTTAAATCAGCCCTATTGATTTTCCAATATGGCAAAGGGAGTGAGTTCTCTTACAGCCTCATCCTTCTGTTTTGGCTCTCCCATGCCTCAGATATAAATATGCGGTGCTTTTGGGTAGATTCATATCTGCTACATAGACACTGCTTTCTATACACTGCTGTGCACTGGAGACTACCGTGACCTTTTCTCCCTTCCTTCTTTTTTTTTTTAAGTTATAGATACATTGCTTTGTGTGTTGCTTAGTTGATTTAATGCCTCTTTAAACTTCTTGCACTAGCCAAACGTTTCCCAGGTGAATTTTGTATCTTGTCTTATCACATCAGGTCATGTACCAAGTTCAGGGATGGCTTTGGTCTCATGAACTTGCTCCCGAGAGAGATCTCTTGCTTTTCTCCTGAGTCTAATTCCTAGTTTCCTGGACCCCACGTTTTCTTCTCTTTTTCTTTGCTCTTATTCTAGTAAGGAATGACTACTGTCCAGTGGTTTGATGATCCTAATCTACACAGAGGTTCACCAAAAGACAGGTTTGGGGATTTGCTTCTGAAAAATCTCAACCTTGGGAGAACCTTCTAGATGAGGGGGTAAGGGAAGAAAATGTGCAACAATGAAAGATTGGAAACCCAAGTTCTTAGTAAACTTTCGTTAAAATCTCAATAAAAGAAAACCCTTCTCGATGACTTCTGTTCTGTACACATGTAGTTGTGGTCAGTGTTGATGTGACAGCAGCTGACAAGAGCAGAGAGGGGGGTGATGATGCCCCTCGCTCATGTCATTAAGTTCTACACTAGTCCTTTGCCAACACACCAAGTGCTTAGAGTTCTTCCCGGGACCCCTTCACCACCAACCTCAAGATTCCTTTTACTTCTTCTGTCAGAGTGTCTCTTTTCTGAGTCCCGTGTCATTATTTCTAATGGAGTCCTTTCTGTTTTTGCTAGAGCAGATCCTTACTTTAAAAAGATGCATTGTGTGTCATTTTCTTTTAGAGATTGTTGTTTTTATGTACCATTGAGTAAGAACTGGATCCTAGCTGACCCTCCAGGGGAGGTTACCAGGCTGTATGTAAATGGCATACTGGAGGAGAGGGCCCCTCCCCACCTCTTCTCCTGCCCCCCACCCCCCAGGGCCCTGCTGGAGGCGTTTGCATTAGCACCACAAGTCCTTACCACTAGGCCACAGTGCTCCCTTTGAGATCTGTTATTATTGTTTTTGTTGTTAAATAGCACTGAGTTTAGTATGATTCTAGCATATCTAAATTTTTCTTGTTCTTTGTTATCTCAAAGAACACTGGTGACATACTAGGTCACATGTTACACTGCTAACCCAAACGCTGGCTGTTCAAATCTACCGGCTAATCCCAAGGACAAAGATAGACAGTTTCCTCCCAGACACATGAAGACTTCAAAAACCCGAGAGAAGGTCATCATGAGTCAGAAGTGACTCATGACACTGGGTCTGGCTTTTGTTTTTATGCTTGACTTCACTGATGATTTAGATCTAAGTAGAATTCTTGATTGAACAGAAATTTCTTTCATAGTTTTGAGGCATTCGATCCATTGTTTTCTAACTTTTGGCGTTGGTTTGAAGAATCTTTAATTATTCTAAATCTTTGTGACCCTAAATTTTTGAAATTTTTTTCATTGACTCGACTGGAAGTACACAGGACCCTTTCAACTTGGCAGTTCCGCTTTTTGCTTTCTGGAAAACTTTTGCTTAATTACTGGACACTTTTCTCCATTTTATTTGTCCTCCTTCCTGGGGTCCCTTTTAGTCAGATGTTGAATATCTTCAGGTCCTGCCCTCAAAAATCTTCTTAAAAAGAACATTTCCCTTTTTTTCTGGGAAATCTTGTCCATTTCCATTTCAAGCCTTTCCGTTGCAGTTTTGTTTCTGCCTCATATGTTTAATTTCCAGGGCTCTTTTAAGTTCTCAGACTGATCATTTTTCATTGTGTCCATTAATTTTGCAATCTCTCTGAGGTATTCAGAATAATTTTTGTTAATTTTTTAAATAGACATTTCTCTGGGTACTTTTATTTACTTCTGTATGTTGGTATTTTTCTTTCCCAGAAGAATGTTTTCTTAGATATATGGATGATGAATCTTCTTTCTTTCTTTCTTTTTTTAATTATTAATTTTAATGAACATTTACAGAGACTTTGGATTTCCATTCATTAATTGTTGCATTTTTCTCCCTGCCCACCCTCCCCCCCTCAGTTCGCTCTTCTCTTTGAAAAGCAAAAGAAAAATTCTTTCATTGTTATACAATCCACCCCCACCCCAAGTCCACTCCACTGTGCAGCCTTCATTCTAGACTCTTGTTATGATAATAATACCTAATCATATACCACTTTTAAATCAGTTCTTTCCCTCATTTGTTTCAATGCAGTATACATGACTTATTGCATCTGCTGAAGCTTCTTCTTACAGGCTTTGGGCATGTTGTTAGGAGGCATTGTTCCTTGGAAGAAGAGAGTTCTGGTTGGTTAGTGGTAACGAGCTGACCTACCCTCCTGAAGGCATGTGGTTCAAATCCACCAGCTGCACTGTGAGAGAAAGATGGGCATTCTCCTCTCGTGTGATTCACTGCCTCTGAAAACCTGCTGGAGGGTCAGCTGTGTGTTGGTTCTGATTCAATGGGACATAACAGTACCAACACATTCCTTTGAAAGGGAAATGGTGCTTGGGAAGGTGAAGGGTCCTATACTATGCTAGGTGCCTCTCAGACTAGAGACTATGTTACCTTTTCTGAAAATACACTAAGGAGCCTTGGTGGTGCAGTGTAGAGACCTCAGCTGCTAAGGGAAAAATTGGTGGTGCAAACTCCTGAGCCATTCTGTGAGAGAAAAAGAAAGCCAAAATGTACACCTTAGAAACCCTTGTCATTTCTCCCCTGTCCTACAGGGTCTCTGTGAGTCACAGTTCACTTAGTTTGGTTTTGTTTAGAAACTTTTCCATGGAAGTACAGAAGAAATGTGGAGTGAGAAAGGGGAGAAAGGAGAATTCAGATACTTACATGTTTTTTTAACAACTTGTCACCACCCCTTCTATGCTGCCTTGGCCCCGCTACCCAAAGCTCCAGAAGTCCCCACTCTCCACATTTGGAGACTTGGATTCACCTTTCTCAGCTCTCCTAACTCAATTTTTATGTATCTTGATTCTTGCTCCCCAGATTCTATAGTTCTTGTCCCCTTTCCATTATTTTGTCCTTATAGATTTACTGGAGGAAAGAGAATTCTTGTGCCAAAACAAACAAACAAATCTCAGCTTTGATCATAGTGATGTTCTTGCAAAAGAAAGAAAATCAGACGCATGTGTTTTATCTGCCTTCTGGAGTCAATGCACTTCTTTCCTTCAAGGGCAATCAGGTTACATCTTTTAGTCAATGCACTTCTATCCTTCAAGGGCAATTCAGGTTACACCTTTTCTGCCAAAAGCCTTTAGACTGCACTAGGAAGATTTACCTTCTCCAAAAGCCTCAAAGAGGCATCATGTCTATCACCGAGTTTAGCATCCATTCTCTCCATGCTCAATTTGTTTCCTCGGTTTACCCTGGTTTCCAACCATGCTGTAACCCTCAAAGTCCAGGATGAGATCTTGACCTGTTTCAACAAACCACACAGTGGAAAGAGCAAGGCTTAGCTCTGACACTCATTTCAGTCCTGTTGATTGGTTAATATTTCACTTCACAGCAGTGAACAAGCCTTTCCTGATAGTACTCTCTCACATGTTTCCCTAGTGCCTTGAAGAAACTCACCTCAAAGATGCTCACACCCACCTTACAGGAAGCCAGAACATGATCCCCTAGAAGGCCTTCTCCTGACCAGATGTTGAAAATTATCAGTTTCTTGACTTGTCCAAGAAGTCACTTGTTTAAATGACTCCCATATTCTCTTCTACACCCACTTGTTTAACTTGACCAAAGCTGGTGTGTAGTATATAAAAAAGGGCTTTCATCTCTTTTTTGTATTCAAGATGACCATGCGATGAGTCTGCTTATTTATGTTGAAAATGTTTCATTGAGAGGGAAGAGGAAAAAAAATCAAAAGACAAGAGAGATATTTTATGTGGAAAATTGCGCCAGAGCATTTTCATTTAAATGTCATCAATTTTCCATAGGCGATTCAGGAGGCTGAAGAGGGACTGAAGGAACTGGACGCAGGAATCATTGAGCTGAAGAGACGTGGGGACAAGCTGCAGATTGAACAGCCCTCCCTGCAGGAGCTCTCCAAGCTCCAGGTACAATTCCTGCGTGACACTGTTCAGCTTCAATGATGTAGCTGAACCTAAATGCTGGAAGAAATTACTTTTCCTCTTGTCTTCCTGGTTTTCTCTGTAGAATGAATGCTAAATGGAGCTCCTAACCTTCCCTTCAAGTATTCCTTTAAAAAGTTTCTGAAAGTTTCACCATAGTAAAAAAAAAAAGAAAGAAAATTAGTTCTATTTTTATGCTCTTAAGATTTCTCTTTTTTAAGACATTTTCTTCTAGTGAGTCCTAAGGCCAGGCATGGTGGTACAGTTAATTTGCACAGTATTCTTCTCTATTCTAAAAAAGAGAACATGAAGTCTCCTTGATTTTCTTTCCTTAGGAAAGGAAAGAAAAATTTAAATGTTTTGACTAAATAGTACTAAAGCTAGTAATTTGTATGAAGTGTTTTTTGTTAAGGTGTTCAAAATCTATAGTTTACAAAGCAACAGTAAGGTTATATCTCATCCCAGCAACAATAGCAAAGTTCAATAAGACAGTAAACAACAATTGCTAGTGAGGTGTGGGGAGATTGGAACTCTCATTCACTGTTGGTGGGGTTGTAAAATGGTGCAACCTCTATGGGAAGCTGTTTGGTACATCCTTAAAACATTGGAAATAAAAATACCATTTGATTTAGCAATCTCATTACTAAGTATATATTTTAAGGAAATGAAAGGTGTAACATGAAGTCTACCCAAGTTCATTAAAGTATTATTTACATTAGCAAAGAGATGGAAACAAACCAGGTGTCCATCAATGGCAAATATTCAAAGAATTTATGGCATATTCACACAGTGGAATACTATGCAACACCAAATAACAGTAAAGTACTTGAGAGTAAGTATATAACATGGATAAATATAGAGAATATTATGCAGAGTTAAATAAGTCAATCACTAAGGATAAATAATGTATAAGGCTATTGTCATAAAAAGCTAAAGAGAGATTAACAAAATCACTTGATTACACATCTAAATGTTTCATCTTTTTCAAAGAAATTACTATCTAGCAGACAAAACTTTTGAGTACTGAGTTTACTAATAAAGACTATTAATTTATTTTTAATTTAAAAATTCACTGTTCTTAACTTCATGCTAGGGACTTCTTCAGCCACTCTGCGTAGAGTTTCTTAGGATCTATTGTCATTTTTGTTTAGTTGTCTGTCTATTCATTCCTCAGGAGACTTCCTCTTTATTCCGTAAGTCATTTAGAAAACCTCCAGCGTCCCTTTCCAGCAGGAAGTAGCTAAGAGAATACGCCGTCCCCTTTTCCTTATGAATGAGGGTGAAGTCTCTCTCAAGGAGGAGTGATAGGGAATGGCAAAGGACACACTGACAAAGGAGATTAATCAGAACTGGCTTTGACAAGCACTGTGGCAATTGGACAATTAAAACAGACTTTCAAGGGGGGAAAAGAAGAAGAATGAACTGGGGAGGAGAGTTAGAGAAAATAGTCAACAATGAATGAATGATAACCCCAAATCTCTTAAAAGTTCATTAAAATTAATAAAATTTAATAAAAAAATAAAAAAGACTAATATGAGATGGAAATGAAAAAAAGAAATGTGTTTTCTAGTTTCCAAACATTTCAGAATTTTCCAGATATCATTCTCTTACACATTTCTAGCTTAATTATTGTACATTATTTCCTCTTTTGAAGCTAGCCAACAAAACCATTAATTTTTAATAAACAAATACTCTTTACACTTTTTAAAAAATTCATTTTAATGAACATTTACAGAGATTTTGGATTTCCATTCATTCATTGTTGCACTTTTCTCCCCGCCTACCCTCCCATTCCCATTTCGCTCTTCTCTTTGAAAAGTAAAAGAAAAATTCCTTCATTGGTATACAATGCCCCCCCCCCACACCAAGTATACCGAGTATCCCAACCCGAGTATACTCCACTCTGCAACCTTCATTTCAGACTCTTACGATAATCATAGTACCCTATAATATATTGCTTTTAAACTGGTCTCTCCCTCATTGGTTTCAATGCAGTATACATAATTTATCCAGTTTTTCTCAGTCTTACCCCAACCCTGATATCAGTCCCATTCTACAATAGTGTCACTAAGCAGTGTTTATCCTTTTGTGACTGAGATATTTCACTCAGCATAATGTCCTTGAGGGGCTTTTAAAAAACAACAACAACAAAACAACAACTAACCAACTTACTCTAGTTTACCTTTCAATAGAATAACATCATTGTTGAAATTCAAAAACATCAACAACAACAAAAAAATAAAGCTACAAGGGAACTAAAGTCTAAAGAATCTTCCTCACAACCTTCATGAATAGGGGTTAACACTTTGGGTAAATTTACTTTTCGAGATCTGAAATGTAGGCAGTAATCTAATACTGGAATGAGAGGAAGATGCTAGGATATTAGTCAAGGAAAATTTAATATCTGTAAGGTAGCACAGATATATTGAGTACAATCACACACACACATACACCCCCTTACTGTATTGCGGCAGAACTATTAAGGGAGAACTATGAGTCCAGGAGCTTGGGTGCCCGAAAGTAATTTTCCAATCCCTATTAATCTAAAGATTTGGGAATTAGAACACACCTAATGATTTTGAAGAAGAAAAGCCTGGCAAACTCTAATGATACAACGAAGAAAACTCTCTTGGCATTTCCACTCCTTAAGACAGGAGGTTGCCTTGTGAAGTGCTTTCGTGGCAGCTAACAACATTACGAAGCCAGGACAGTGTCACAGTTCTTTGTTTTGGGGAAGTAAGATGGTTCTTAGAAAAAGAGAACATTTTCATTTTAACTTTATCGTTCCTTGATTGAACATTGCACAGATGCATTAAGCCTATTGCCCCACATTGTCCTTTCACTAAATCATTTCCAGACGGAACTTAAACATAAGGTGTTGGTGTCAAAGGTCAAAGTTATAAACAGACATTAAAATTGAGCTTGTCCAGCTTTTGAGTCATTCTTGCCTGCCGAAACCTTCACAGGGTCCATTAATCAGGTCCATGTGGGACAAATAAATTTTGTGTGTTTTGCATCATTGTCTCCTAAAAGGTCTTTCCAGTTTAAATAATTATTTACTCCACCAAAATTTATGAAAACATTGACTTTCAAAATCTTCAAGTCTCCTGCTCACATTAGACTCCTCTGCTTTTCTAGCCCTTTCTTTTTGGTCCAGAATCTGATTATTATTTAGCAGACAAAACTTTTAGGGATGTTCTCTATTCAATCACCATGAAATAATAGAATTTTGATAGCATTATACAGATTGGAATTATTATATCTATGGCCTCTGCATCCACCACATGGAATTTTTTCTTTCTGCGTTGTAACCCCACGTCTCCTCATAAATTATCGATAGCCTGAGTTTGACAGTTATTAAATCTGTCACCCATGGCATGTCTACCTCAGACTCTTCCACATAACCTCTGCGAGACCAGAAGGTTTATCTTTTAGAAAGAAATTTTCAAAGTGAACAATGTTAAACATTTCTTTTAGAAAGAAGTGTCCAAAGTGGAGACTCGTGTGAAAGCCCAGCAAATGGTTGACATTCAGAATGGCCACCTGAGACGTGGCCCGAGGGAGGGAGCATCTTTGGGGTGGCCATGGGCTTGGCTAGTGGCCCTCTGAGAGAGGGACCAGAGCCCAGATTGACGGTGACAGTGGCTGTGGTCACTTCTAGGACATGTACGACGAACTGATGGTCACCATCGGCTCCCGGCGGAGTGGGCTGAACCAGAATCTCGCCCTCAAAGGTCAGTTTGAAAGGGCTCTGCAGGACCTGGCTGACCTGCTAGAAACCGGACGAGAGAAGATGGCAGGAGACCAGAAGATCATTGTGTCTTCCAAAGAGGAGGTCCAGCAACTGCTGGACAAGCACAAGGTGAGCAGGGAAAATAACCATATTAAAAAGTGTATCTGTGAGAGATGTATCCTCACTCACGGACAGTTATTGAAGCCCAGTATTCCTCACCTGCTATACACTTTCACATATGGCTCTTTAAAACAGTAATCACTCCGAAAGAGTTTGAGGTATAAACTCTCAGATAGAATGGGAGGAAAATGTGTAACAAAACTCAAAACTATAAAAAGAATACTATGCTTGCTGGTTTGATAGAAAAAGTAGAAACCCCCCAAGACTCTGACCCTTCAAAAAACCCCAAACTGAAACCCCTTGCTGTTGCCCCCGCCGATCCAGGTCTCAGCATGTGTAAGGGGCTGAAAGTCACAGAGGAGAGGATTTTGCTCATCTTTCTCCTGAGAAGACACTGGTGGATTTGAACTGTCTACTTCTGAGTTGACAGTGCAGCTCCTTGCCCACTAGGCTACCAAAGATCAAGAGAGGGAAAAAAATCAAAAATATATAAAGTAAAATATGTATTCGAAGGTGTCAGTCAATGTGTCCCCGAGTCCACTGGCATTCAGTACTTTACTGTTAGGTGTCTCTGAGCTTAGCCTGACTCATAATGACTTTGTATACAAGGGGTCAAACCCTTGCTCCATCCAGATAATCCCATAGTCTCTGATGAGCCCATTTCCACCTCAGTGAGGGTCAGCACAGTGAAATGAGGGGAGATATTATCTTGACTTGATACACTGATAAATTTAAAAAGTCAGCCTTACCAGTAATGATTAGGATTGCACCTCACTGCCGTGAACCAGGCTTTCTCCCTTCAAACGCTGCAAGCAGGGAAGTACTGAGGTTGAAGGCACCCAGCCCTGTCCTTAAATTAGCTCTTTGCCCATGTATCCTTTTCACTGTCTATCTCTCTAGTCCTAGGAGTTCTGTGTGCCATCAGTTGTCCTTGCCTTGGCCACCCCACTGTGCCCTGAGAAGGCAGAGCTGCCCCTCGATTCAATGGGGTTAAGTCTTCAGCCCTCTTGACCGTTCAGCACAAATGTCCGCACCTGCTGCAGGTATCTTCCTGGGCAGCTGCTTGCACTTGGATAGCACACCAGGAATCTTCTTCCTGGGCTACCCCAGCATGGACCATGGCCAAGTTCATGTGCAACACTATTCCGCAGAAAGGAAACGACAGTTTGATACACAAACAATATCTCCTGCATTGTTAGCAATAGTTCTGGAAAGGGCCGCTCCGCTTACAGAATACCCAGCTTCCCAGACTATGGGAATTTCTTGTTAAAACACTTTTAAAAAACTCACTAGATTCGAGCTGGTTAACATATTGTGCCATTATGTGGACCTCTGGTGGCTCATAAAGGTGGATTTTTTTAAAAGTTGTGCTTCATGATGTTTTTCCCAGAGAATGTTGTCCAAAACATTATGATTTATTAATGCTCTATCATTTGGCTCTGCAAACACTGCTTTCAAGTTCACAGCTGGTTTTTCTCAAATCTTTGAGCATGCTAATAAAAGACCATCCTGAGTTGTTCCAGGGGGAGAGTTAGAATTGATGAGTATAAACAACAAGGAATTCAAGCCCAGAGGAAGGGAGTGGATGCCCTAGGAGAGAGGGCTGTATTGGCCAGGGGAAATCTCAGGAGTCTTGTCAGAGAGCAGGGGCTGTAAAATGAACATTAGCTCTGAGTGAGCACTGGGCTCGCTGACCAGCAGGGACTCCGCCAGCTGCAAGATCTTGTGATGCAATAACTGTCTGTGAACTGCACTGACGCGGGACCACAGAGATGCAGGCGCCCTAGCGCCAGCCCACCTGCTGCCTGGTCCACTCTCCCTGCTATGAACACTGCCCTCGGTGTGTGTCAGAGCAGAACTGGGCTCGAAAGGGTTTTCAGTGGCTGATTTTGCATAAATAGATCACCAGGCAGCTTTCTGAAGATTAGAAAACTAAGAGCCTATTGTTGTTAAGTGCTGTCAAGTCGCAGGCGATTCATAGCGACCCTATGAAGGAGTGTCCTCAATGCTTGGGTGCCTTTCATCCTCTCTCCAGGTACATAGGGTTTCCAGAGGCAAGCTATTACGGAAGTGGATGCCACTCCTCCTTCCAAGCTTGTTTTACTCCGGGAGCTCCACCCCACTCTCTGTCCAAATTGGATAGCCAACCATTAACATATTTTACACATCACTGTCACAGTGTTCAGCCTCACAGCAACCACAAGTGACCACTGTATGGCAACTTGTACACCAGGGCTATACGACCTAGAGGAATATCTGAACAAACACAATGAAAGGCCCAAGGGCCGTGGATTAAAAGTCACCAACCTTCGGCTTGGTAGCATCACTTTCTGTCCACTGGGACAGCTGATCTCTCTCTCTATATTGATGTTATTTTTGTTAAGTGCCATCGAGTCACAGGTGACTCATAGTGACCCCATGAAGGAGAGTCCTCGACGCTTGTGTGTCTTTCATTTTCTCTCCAGGTTCATAGGGTTTCCAGAGGCAAGCTATTTACGGAAGTGGATGCCACTCCTCCTTCCAAACTGGTTATTACCAAGGTTTAACTAGGCAAGCCTTGTTTACAGGTTACTCTGCAAATAATAAGCACACAATTAACAAATGGTGTAGGGCTACTAATCAGAAGGTCACTGGTTTGAATCTACCAGCCATTTCATGGAAGAAAAGGGAAGTAGCCTGTTTCTGTCAGGATTTACAGCCTCAGAAGTTCTGCTCTGCCCTCTAAGGTCCTTATGAACCCACCTCCACTCATAGCCGTGGGTTTGTTCGCTTTCCTGTCTACTCCTGGTTCTTCAGTCAGTCAGTGATGCTGGGAACAGAAAGTAGCAAAGGTACTGTCCTCAGCCTCTGGGGTCCCTTCCACAGACCGTGTTAGGAGCACCGGTGGGGTTGCTTGAGTACAAGAGTTCTGTGGTGGGTAGACTTGACAGGAGGAAAATGACAAACAATGTGACAGTTTGTCCAGGCCTCGCTGTGATAGGCAGTAAGCAATCAACACAACAAATGCCAGAGATGAGAGCAGGACTTCAGTCGGGGGAGGGGAAGCCACAGAGGTTTTACATGAGGCCCTCTCCTCTGAGAACAAAGCAGCAGGAGCAGAGGCCAGAGAGGGGGCACCTGGAGCTACGTGTTGCTGGGATATGGGGGAGGCTGGTGTGATGTGGAGTGAGGGACACAGAGTTGCAAGCAAAAGCAGGTCAGCTGTGAGAGGCCAGGGAGACCCTCCAGTTTAGGAAGAGTTTTGTTTGGGGGTACAGCATCTGCAGTAGAGCAGAGAGAGGGACACACTTGAGTGGGGAGACTGATCAGGAGACTAGTAGCCCTTCTCTGCAGGAAGTGACGGCGTCTGGGCTGAGGTAGAACACTGGAATGGAATGCCTTTGGTTCTGCCTGGCCGAGACCTGGCAGCATTCTGGCTCCTGAGTCCATTTCAACAGTCAAGTATGAGTTACTGACTTCTTTCTACCTGAACAATTGCAGGAATACTTCCAGGGTCTGGAATCCCACATGATCCTGACTGAAACCCTCTTCAGAAAGATAATCAGCTTTGCCCTCCCAAAGGAGACCCAGTCGCACACAGAGCTGATGGCCCAGGCCTCCGCTGTCCTGAAGCAGGCCCATAAGAGGGGCGTGGAGCTGGAGTACATCCTAGAGGTGAGACTGCTGGTGTGTCCCCTTCCCCACCACGATGCCCTCCGTCAGAACGGAGCTGTGAAGCAGGAATTGTCACTCATGTCACAGGCCTCGCGTCACCTGAGGGCTGGGTGCGGCCTGTGGCCCCATGCTGGACTGTTCCTAGAGTCTCCATCACCCTGGGCTCCGTGTTGTCTTATTCCTATTGGATACGTGCTCTGCCATATTGTAAGCTAGCTTGATGAACACTGGCTTCAGATTATGCAGCAGGAGATTGTGGGCTTTGATGTTCAGGCTGTTGTCCAGTTCTGAGCATGAACAGTGAAGCCACAGAGCCCGGGGCCTGTCCAGAAGGCAAGCGCTGTCTCGTAAAGGAGCCTGGAAGCCAGAGGCCAGGTGGCCCCCTTGGGTCCCGCTACTCTTTTGATTCTGCAAACTGAAAAGGAAAGATTCCTTATTTAAAAGAGAAAAGATTCTCAGGACTTACGCCTTAAAAATATAGGTTCATGTTTAGAACACAGCAACAGTTGTTGCACCTTATACAATATTTGTCCTTCTGAGACTGAGTTAGTTCACTCTACATACACTCCCACGTAATCTACAAAATCGTTCTTCCTTAGTGCTGCATACTATCCCATGATGTGAATGTACCACAATTTCTCAATCCATTCATTTGTTGATGGGCATTTCATACTTGATACTATGAACCACAGTACAATGAACATGTTTACAAATCTCCATTTGAGTCTCAGCTCTGATGTCCTTGGGGTCTATTCCTAGCAGTGGAATAGCTGGGCCATTTGGCATTTCTGTGTTCAGCTTCTTGAAGAGAGCTTTTTTTCCATTTCTTTCACCTTGATGACTGCCATTAACGTCCAGTCTACCCTTCACAAAATGTTATTATGAAAATTCTTTCACTCCTTAAGTCACTCTCATTCTTCTAAGTATTATTCACTCAATATTTACCAGCTGCCTCTGGTAAATGCCACCGAAGGCCCTAGAAACCCCATAGCCACTGCACCCAGGACTGTCCCCATAAAGCCAGTGCTTGAATGGGGCAACAGACAAGACATGGAGACTCATAGTGCAGTACAGACTGTGTGCGTGGAGAAGGGACTGTTATTTGGTGTCCTAGATCTTACACACAATACCTTATAGATGATAAGAACAAGGAGTTCCATCTCTAACAAAGCTCTGTGGGTCAAGCCTGGCCCCCTACCTGTAATTTCCGTGTTAGTGGAACAGAGAACGTTTGTCAGGTGATGCATTGTCTGTGTCTGCTTCTAACTACCACAGCCGAGTGGAGTGGTTACAGAAGAGGCCGTTTACTCCCCATCGCTGACAATTCTTACTACCTGGCCCTTTACTAAAAGGTCTGCGGGCCCTAAAGTCAGATGAACTTGGCTCAAGTGCGGGTCCCACCATTTGCATGGAACCTTGGATGAGTAGTAAGAGCTCAGTAAGGCTCACCGATCCGTTCTAGATGCCTGTGACTCTGAAGCCACAGGTCTCACTCATAGCACGGCTGCCACTTTCCTGCAGTGACTAGTCAGATGGCCCTAAACTGCTCCCGTTTTCTCCTTATTTGCTATGAGAACTTTGGGGATTGTAATCCCACTCACTTCTTTCCTTTTCCCACAAACATACTACCCTTACTGGGACTGCTTTTATTACATTTTTCTAAAAATATAATATTAGCATATTTCTAAATCTTTTCTTCCCTAGGCCAATAGCGTCCCAGCTTGTTATTGTTAGTGGTCATTTAGATGACCCTGAACGAAACACTGCCCGGGCCTGCACCGTTCCCACAGTCCTTGCTAAATTTAACCCATTATTCAGACACTAACATCTGGTTAACCTCCAGTGTTCCTCAGACATGGATTTTCCCAGTGCTCTATGCATTGGATAGACGTTTACCTTTACCTTTTGGTACTTTTGAAAAGACGGTTACTATTCACTGACAGGCTAGCCCCTGGCTTGGCTTTTGGTGTCGATGGCCCTGCGTCTTACCTTGAACCCTCTAAGGTGCTGTTGTAAATTTGTTTTAGGGGTGAAGTCGAGAGCCATTTCCTGCCAAAGCACGAGATTAAATGGTATAGAGTTAATAATCAAACATGACTCTAATTCCATGGCCTGAAATGTATTTCTCAAGGAGACCTACCTCATTAAAATCACTGCCTACCACAAACACCTGGACACACATTTTTATTCTCTTCTCTTGACCCTGTTGGGATGATGATGATCATCATTGTTATTATTGTTGTAGTTTATATTGTAGCTGATGTTAGATGGATCGTGGCAGAAGGCAGAGAATACGAGAAGAATGTCTATCTGTGCTTCATTGAGTATGCAAAGGCTTTTGACTGTGTGGATCACAACAAGCTATGGCTGACTCTGAGAAGAATGGGAATCCCAGAATACTTGATCATGCTAATGTGAAACCTATACTTGGACCAAGAGGCAGTCGTCAGAACAGAGCAAGGAAACACTACATGGTGCAAAATCAAGAAGTGGGTCCGTCAGGGATGTGTCCTGTCTCCATACCTTTTCAACCTATATTCAGAACAGATCATCCAGGAGGCTGGGCTCTATGAGGAGAAATGTGGGGTCAAGATTGGTGGAAGATCTATCAACAATCTGCAATATGTAGATGATACAACCCTGCTTGCTGAAACTGAGGAGGACCTGAAGCTCTTGCTGCACAAGGTCAAGGACTGCAGCTTCCAATATGGATTGAAGCTCAAGGTCAAGAAGACAAAGATTCTCACCACTGGGTCAATTGGCAGCATCAGTATGGATGGTGAAGAGATTGAGATAGTTAACAGTTTTCGTTTACTTGGTTCCACAGTCAACACTCTTGGTAACAGCAGCCAGGAAACAAATTACAGGAGACAAATTACATTGGGAGAGTCAGCTGTGAAGGATCTCTCAAGAGTACTGAAGAGCAACGATGTCAGGCTGGAGACTAAGGTGCACCTGACCCAGTTTTGGGAAATTGGAGGGACGGTACAGGAGAGACCCTTGAAGAGATGGATCAATTCTGTGAGTGGAGTGGTGGGAATGAGTGTGTGTGAGATGGCGAGGTTGGCACAGGATAGAACAGTGTTTAGGGCTCTTGTACACAGGGTCGCTACGAGTAGTAAGTGACATGATGACTCATAACAACAACAACAACAATACTAGTTTACTTACAGAATTTGAATACACTGTTTTCCAGTACAGATTCTTCCAATTTCCCTTACTCCACACACCCATTATATTGTACAACTCTGTGATTTAATCACCCCTCCCCTGCACATCCTCATCCCTCTGCTTCCTCCCTCTTCCCCTGCCCGTTGGATCTTTGAGTCCTGGTAGACTCATAGTGACTCTATGAACAAAAGACCCAATGCCTTTATATAGCTGTCGTTATTTCTCCAAGTTCATAGAGTTTCCAGAGGCAAGTGGTTTAGGAAGTGGATGCCACTCCTGCTTCCAAACTTGTTTTACAACTGGGAGCTTCACCAAACACTGCCCACATTGGGAAACCATTCTATTATTTGATACCCCAATGGCACAAGGTTCAGCATCACAGCAAACCCAGGTTACCTCATACAGCACACTGACAGAGAGTGATGTGCAAAGTGGAAGAATATTCTTCCAGATATAATGGCACTAGTCTCATTTAGTAGCAGTTAAGTATTGTTGAGTTGAATATGACTCCTAGTAAGCTTTGAACAAAAGACCTGAACTCTGTTCTGTGATTAACATCATTTCTGTACATTTATAAGAGAGTTTGTAGCGTTTCCAGAGGCATCTAGTTTAGGAAGTGGATGCCACTCCTGTTTCCAACATGAATCAATCTGGAAGCTCATCCAACCATTGTACATAACGGGTAACCATATGGCATTTGCCATGACTATGAAATAGTGTTCAGCATCACAGCAACCCTAAGTTGTTCAGTACAGCAAATAGACAAATGATTGCTGTGTCTTCAAGAGAATATTCTTCTAAAATTAATAAACTTGGCCCTCAGGCCCTACAGGATTTTCAAACAACACCCTCCATCACGGCTCCACCCTTACCCTTAGTCCAAAATTCAAAGGGTCACCCACTTTTGAGAAGGGGAAAGACCGTAACATACAACAAAAAGGACCCCAGAAACTTCCCTTGCCAGACTGCCAACAAGACAAAACCACCATTGAGATGACTCCAGCTAGCCGACTTCCAGAGTGGAGAGAGACTCCACTATACAATATTGCGTATTAGATATGTTGTTGCATGCTATCAAGTTGGAGCTGACTCGTACCTGACCCGCCAGCAGGTTTTCAGATGCAGTAAGTCCTAGGGGAAGAGACTGCCCAGCTTTTTCCCAAAGAGCAGCTGGTGGATTCAAACCACATACCTTTGGGTTGGCAGTGCAATCCCTTGTCACTAAGGTGGCCTAGTGTCAAGAAGCTGTATTGCAATCCTAATCCACCAGCTACTTCATGGGATTAACTGTGTGATTAACTGCCTCTGAAAATCTGCCAGAGGGTGAGCTGTGGGTCAGTAATACACAAAAACAACAACAAGCCATCACAAAGCTGTTCCATGAGAGAAGGATGGGCATTCTCCTCTCGTGCTGAGTCAGTTCTGACTTGATGGTACACATCATCGCTGCCACCAAGCCACCCAGATTCCCTCTTTGTATTAGATATGTTGTTGTGTGCTCTGTCGAGTCAGAACTGACCCATAGCTGACCCTCCCACAGGTTTTCAGAGCAGTTAATGACATGGGAGAAAATTGCCCATCTTTCTCCCACAGAGCAGCTGGTGGATTCGAACCATGTTCCTTTAGGATTGCAATGCAGCTTCTTGTCACTAGGCCACCAGGGTTCCCTGTATTAGATATGTCGTTGTTGTTATGTGCCATTGAGTCACTTGCAACTCATAGAAACCCTATGTAGAAGAGCCCTAAACCCTGCTCTATCCTGTGCCAAGCCTCACTGTCTCCGACACACCTAGTCCCATGACCCCAGTCACTGAATCAATCCATCTCATCGAGGGTCTCCCTCTCCTGCGCTGTTCCTCCATCCTCCCAAACACCATGCCCCTCTCCAAGGACTGGTCCCTCCTTGCAACATGTTCAAAGTATGTCAGACAAAGCTTCAGAATCCTTGACTCCAAGGACCAGCCTGGTTTCACCCTCTCCAGGACAAACTTGTTTGTTCTCCTAATAGTCCATGGTATGTTTGATGCTCTTCTCCAGCACCACAGCTACTTTAGAACCACTTCAGATATCCAGAAAATGTAGGAAGTTCCCTTATGCCTGTTCTGCACACAATTTCTCTTATAATTAATCTTGCATTTGTGTGTTATATTTGATATACTTGGCAAACCAACATCTATATATTATCAACTGAAGTTCATAGTTGACATTGTGTTGTACAGCTGTGTGGGTTTTGGCAAATGCTTGCTGTGGCCATGCTGTTGTTGTTATGTACCATCGAGTCGTTTGCGACTCATAGCGACCCTATGTACAACAGCCCTAAACCCTGCTCTATCCTGTGCCAATTGCACTGTCTCTGACATTCCCATCCCGATTACCCCAGTCACTGAATCAATCCACCTCATAGAGGGTCTTCCCCTCCTGCGCCGTCCTTCTACCCTCCCAAGCATGATGTCCCTCTCCAAGGACCTGTCCCTCCTTGCAACATGCCATGCAGATCATTGTAATATCACATAGAGTGGTTGTCTGCCTGGCTGTTAACTCTCTAGGCCTAGAATAGGTCCTCGCAATAGATTTCGAAAGAATATGCTGCTGAGAGCTTAAATTTCTGCTCTGTTCCACACTCTGTTGCAATTTTGCCACATCATCTATGCATCTGATTCAAGCCGTTGTCTTCTCAATCATCTGCTACACGTCAGAGAGCAGGACAATGAATAAGGATCATACAAAAAGGATTGATGTCTTTGAGTTGTGGTGTTAGAGAAGAACACTGAATATCCCATCGACTTCCAAAAGAACAAACAGATATATCTTGGAGAAAATGCATCCAGAGCACTTGTTGGAGGCAAAGATGGCAAAACTTCTTCTTTCATACCTTGGACATATAGCTAGGCGAGGCTATTCCTTGGAAATGGCCATTATGGAGGGTCCGCAAAGGAAAAGATGACCCCAGTGAGAAGGACTGACACAGTGATTTCAGCAGTGGGCTCTCGTGTGTCAGAGATGAGGAGGATGGCACAGAATAGGCCTGGGTTCAGACTGGCTGTTCATACAGTTGCTATGAGTCGTATTTGACTCGATGACACCTAATAATAACTACAACACACACACACACACACACACACACACACACACACACACACAAACCTGCTGGCCTTTGATATAAATATTAGGAAAGATTTTCTAGTTTAAAATTTTAAAAAAATCTTAATTTAGTCTTACAAAATTTAGGCTTTTTCCTTAATAGACATCTATACTTTGTGTTCATATTTTTAAAAAGGTTTTATTTCACTAAGAGGGACATTTACTTCCCTTGCTACACAAAACACCCTAGCGCATGCATCCATTTCACGGAAGTAATAGCATCCCGTCTGCATTGTAGAATGATGACCAGGTTCAATGAACAGGTTCACCCTGCCGTCCAGAAGCCGAGAATCCCTGTGAACCTGTTTGCAAGCAGAAATGATGTGAAGCAAAGAACCAGTTACCATTAACTTATACGGGGGAGACGATTGAGCATCTCCACACCCAACGCATGGCACACCAAATCAAAGCAAAGAGCCTGTAAATCATAACATCACAGCAGCCTGGTGAAAGCAGGAATGGCATTACCAGTGCACAGCCTGCGTGTCATTGAGATAATGTATGGACCGTGTTGTTCCTTAGACAGACCTTGAAGCCACGCTCACCCCTCACTGCTGTTTCACAGCTTATTTTAAATCAAGTACAGAAAAGCAGTTATGTTTTTTACTTTTTTTAAAAAATTTGTCATTTAAGAAGCACAATCAATAATTCAGGTCCTTTTTTTCCTTTTTGCTTCGGTTCAATGAAAGAGATTTTAATCGAGGGCCCTGGGTCATAGGGCTCAGAAGAAGGCCACCTGCAACAGGCAAGGGAGCCAGTGAAGAGGGGGGCTCTTATTTGACCTTCTTCTTGGGACGCAGGTTGTTGGTGTGTCCACACTTCTTGCAGCAATTGACAGCATGGGGAGGCAGGCGAGCGTAACACCTGCGGCAGATCACCTTGTTGCAGTTATACTTCTGGGCGAGCTGGTGCAAGGAAGGCTCCATGATGCCACCACACAGATGCAGCACCAGATGCAGGGTGGACTCTTTCTGGATGTTGTAGTCAGAGAGTGTACAGCCATCCTCTAGCTGTTTGCCCGCAAATATCAGATGCTGCTGGTCAGGAGGGATGCCCTCCTTGTCTTGGATTTTGGCTTTGACATTCTCAGTGGTGTCACTGGGCTCGACCTCAAGAGTGATGGTCTTGCCTGTCAAGGTCTTCACAGAGATTTGCACCTCTGCATCTGCCGCTCGGCTGCCTCTTTTGCAGGTCTTTTTTAAAGGTGAAGTGGCATAAAGCAGTGTTTGGAAAGCAGGGACTCCTGTAGTTCAGACACCCACAGGGCTCTGGGTCTACTGCATGTGGGACCCTGGTTAATTCTCACAGTTGAGAAGATGGTTATTAGAATCCTCATTTTAACAAAAGCACTTACGGTATTTGATGGTAGTTAAAAACACACACAGCAGAACAAAGACCAGTTGAAACTTTTCTGGATTTACAATCCACGGACATTGATTACAATCTTCATGATATTCAACCATTTTCATCTTTATTTTACCAAACTTCTCTCACTAACAGAAACTTACTCTCCCCCTAAATTTTCTATTTAACAATCTGTTGGATAGAAAACTGACAAGTTGTTCTTGTAAATTTTATTCCCTTGGGAAAATTCTTACAAGAATGTGATTTTAAAAAACATTAAAAAATTTAAAAAAAAAAAGAATGTGATTCCACAGGCCGATCCTCTCCTCATTTTAGAGATGTTGGCAATGAGAATTAGAGGTTAGTGACTCTCCCACACTGGCTTGTACAACTCATTGGTTGCAGATACCACCGTCCACTCTCAATGCTTCCTGGGGTCACTAACACCCCACCACCTTCAAAGTCATTGTTTCCTTTTCCAAGGAAGTTCTTAAACACAAACTGAAAACCAAAACCAACCCCACTGCCTTCTGATTCAGCCACCCGCCGTTAGGTTCCCAAGCTCACAAATCCTTACAAGAGGAGCCCACCTGCCCCTCCTTCTCCCACAGATGGAGTTGCTGTTGTTGTTAGGTGCCGTCAAGTACATACAACTCATAGCGACCTTATGAACAACCGATCTGAACCCTGTCCTATCCTGTGCCATCCTCACAATCTTCGACATACCCGAGTCCATGGCATCGATCGCTGTGTCCGTCCATTTGGTTGAGGGTCTTCCGCTCTTTCGCTGACCCTCCGTCTTCCCAAGCATAATGTCTCTTTCTAAAGAACAGCCTCTCCTAGCAACATGTCCAAAGTCTGAGAGGCAAAGCTTTGCCATTTTTGCTGCAAGGAACGCTCTGACTGCACCTTTTCTGCAAATACACCTATTTTTCTTCTGGCAGTCAATGGGATATTCCGTACATTTCTCCAACACGACTCAAAGGCATCACTACTTCTTCTGTCATCCTTATTCATTGTGTAACTTTCTGGTGCTTAGCAGGTAATTGAAAAGACCGTGGCCTGAGTCAGGTACGCCTTAAATTCAAACTGCCGACCCTTCGGTTAGCAGGCCATGCATAGTCCACTGTGCCACCAGCCTCCCTTTCAAACACTGTTGCAGACCAACTGTGGGTAAAGTATTTTTAATGAGACAGACAACCAAGAAATGAGACAGAGCATAAAGACAGGGGGCCAGCAGTTCTCGACTGACGGGGGGCCTGAGCTTCCCTGTATCTTTATTGAAAATTATCAGGAAGCAAATCACAAAGATAATTCAATGCAAATCCAGCCAAGCTATTTTTATTGAAAACCTTCCCCTTGACTCAGGAGGGAGGGGTCAGCAAATGCAAGAATCTGGTAAACCCTTAAGGATGGCCTTGGTGCCTCTGGGTGGACTCCGGCTTGTACCTCACCTCCACCACATCCTGATAGCATTCAGTTTATTACAAATATTTAGTATTGGCTTCCATACAACACTACCAGCCCCACATAACTATAGAGAGGATCTGTGAGGTGTATACTTTGCTCATAAAGAGGAGTATCTCCCCTAACGAGGATTTTTTTCCCCCTCTCCTATGCTTATGTTGAATTTCCAGACATGGTCCCGGCTGGACGAGGACCACCAGGAGCTCAGCAGACAGCTGGAGGTGGTGGAAAGTAGCATCCCAAGCGTGGGTCTGGTGGAGGAGAGCGAGGACAGGCTCATTGACCGGATAACGCTCTACCAGGTTGGCCGCGTTTCCTAGTGGGATAGTGGGAATTTGCTGGAGTTTTACAGATCAGGTATTTCTGAGTTGTTGTTACTCTTGGAATGTATAAAGATACACTTGGAATCAGTATTTTATAATACAATACTTGCAGGGTCTGGGTGTATTTTGGGTTTTATTGCCTCCTCCTTTCCTTTAATGAGAGAGTTCTTTATGAAAACTCAGCCTCCACTAATTATTTCCTATAACTTAGGCTAGTTGTTGCTATAATCATGAAATAGGTCTAACTTGACAGATTTAAATGTACCTAAAGTTAGTAAGGAGTTTGGGTAGCCTAGTGGTAAGAAGCTGCACTACGGTCCTGACGGTATGCAGTTTGAACCCACAAGCGGCTCCATGGGGGCAAGACAGGCAGGATCTTCCCATGTGATCTACTGCCTCTGAAATCCAGCTGGAAGATCAGCTATAGATTGGTTCTGACTCAGCAGTACTCAGCAACAACAAAGTTAGTACTAGCCCAAAAAACCAATAAATGAAAGACAGATAGAAATACATAAATGAATGATAGATGATAGATAGATTATAGATAGATAGATAGAAAGATAGATCATAGAATGGATAGACAGACAGATGATAGATAGATAGATAGATAGATAGATAGATAGATAGATAGATAGATAGATAATAGATAGACTGGATAGACAGAGAGATAGATAGATAGATAGATAGATAGATAGATAGATAGATAGATAGATAGATAGATAGATGATAGATAGATAGATAGATAGATAGATAGATAGATAGATAGAGAGATAGAGAGATAGAGAGACTTGGAGAAAGGAAGTCAATACTTGGATGAAACATCTCAAAGTTTTCAGTGTTGCCTGGTAGCACATAGCGGAGGTTTGAATGAAAGATAAATTGTATCTTTTACATAAAGAAAATTGGGCAGTTGAGAAATTGAATCTTAAGGAGAATATGGCACTGTACAAAGTTCTAACTGAATGCTTTCGACCGTTTCAGCATCTAAAATCTAGCCTTAGTGAACACCAGCCCAAATTATATCAGCTCTTGGACGATGGTAAGCGCCTTCTGATTTCCGTTAGCTGCTCTGATCTGGAAGGCCAGCTCAGTCACCTGGGCGACCACTGGCTGACCAGCACCAGCAAAGTGGCCAAGGAGTTACACCGATTGGAGACGATCCTGAAGCACTGGACCAGGTAATACAGTGACTACTCGACCTACCTTTAGACCAGTGCCAGACTGGTCTAGACTATTTGTAAGGTCAGTAGGTATGAGAGTTGAAAAAGGGATCTTCTTGCAAGGAGCTTGCCCCCTAATTTGGAAAATACAGATAAATCCAACGCTTTAATTGGATGCTTATACAGATGGATAAACATAAAGGGGAAAAGTGGAAAGGGATGCAGGTATCTTTCCCTCTTGTCTATAACTGTGTTGTTGAGTGTCAATCTCATGTGACAAGGTAGAACTCTGAGGTGGGATTTTTTTCTTGGCTGTAATCCTGGAATATAGATCTCAAGGAAGACATTTGGAGAGAGCTTCTGGGTGGATTTGAACCTTCAATGTTTTGGTTAACAATTGGACGCTTAACCATTGTGCCATGGGGTTCTTTGCCTATAACCTGTATATGAAAGTGAGCATTGGGAAGGAAAGAATTTCCACGGGCAACGGGAGGTATCCAAAGGAGATAGAGGGTTGACATTTATATAGCAAAATGTTCTGTTTCTAGGCCACCTTTATTTCAAACAACTTTTATAACTATAATCTAGGATTTTTTTTCAAATTGCTTCAATATGAAAAAATAAGATAAAAAAAATTTAATCTTAATTTTAGAGATAGGAAAACCAAAACAGAGACTGTCTTAAAAATTAATATGTAAAAGTTGAGAACAATATTTCAGAGGATTATCCCAACACGTTTCTTCCCCCTAAATCTTTCTTGTATTCTTTTTTAAAACCATTGACACTGGGGAATACCATGCGTTACCAGAGGCAGGGACTGAATATTTAATAGCCTCGTTCATAGACACTCATGTACCAAATGTGGTAATGGTTACCCATGGTGGACAGTGTGGGGTGGGGCTCCACGATTAAAACAAGCTTGGAAGCAGGAGTGGCATCCACTTCCGAAATGGATTGCCCTCAGAGACTCTATGAACCGTGCTCAGGTCTTCCGTTCATAGGGTCACTATGAGTTGTCTACGACTCGACGGCACTTTACAACAACAACAAGTACATTCATAGAGAGCTTTGGTGGCTTAGTGGTAAAGAATTGCACTGTCCACTCAAAGGCATGTGGTTCAAATCCGCCAGCTGCTCTGTGGGAGAAAGATGAGCAGTTTCTTCCCATACAATTTACTGCCTTTGAAAACCCACTGAAGGGTCAGCTGTGAGTCAGTTCCAACGCTACAGCGTTTAACCACAAACATCCTATACACAATACGAATCTACCAGCTGCTCCACGGGAGAAAAATGGGCAATCTTCTCCTGCGTGGTATGTTGTTGTTGTTGTTATGTGCCGTCGAGTCGTTTGCGACTCATAGTGACCCTATGTACAACAGCCCTAAACCCTGCTCTAGCCTGTGCCAATCGCGCTGCCTCTGACACACCCATCCCGATCATACCAGTCACTGAATAAATCCACTTCATAGAGGATCTTCACCTCCTGCACCCTCCCAAGCATGATGTCCCTCTACAAGGACCTGTCCCTCCTTGCAACATGCCCAAAGTATGTCAGACGGAGCCCCAGGATCCTTGCCTCCGAGGAGTTGCTTGGTTTAATCCTCTCCAGGATGATTCTGTTTGTTTTCTTGGCAGTCCAGGGTACATTCAATACTCTTCCCCAGCACCACAGCTCAAAGGCATCAGTTCTCCTCTGTCCTCCCTAGTCATTGTCCAGCTCTCTGATGCATAACAAGTGATTGCACAGACCATGGCCTGTATCAGGTGCACCTTAGTCTCCAGAGAGACACTGTTGCTCCTGAGTACCTTAGAGAGGTCCCTAACAGTATATGACCTCTGAAAACCCCTTGGAGGGTTGTCTAAGGATCAGTTTGGCTCTACAACACACAACATCAACAATAAGCCTCGTTCCTGTCCTTTCAGGTATCAGAGTGAATCAGCAGCTCTCATCACCTGGTTACAGTCTGCAAAGGACAGGCTGGAATTCTGGTCACAGCAGTCTGTGACAGTCCCCCAAGAGCTGGAAATGGTTCGGGACCATCTGGATGCTTTCTTGGTAAGTCTGAGAATGTAAGGCATTTGATTCGGTTTTCCTGTTTTCAGACCTTCAGAAATAAGTCCTGACCTGGGCAAGACTAAAATAAAAATCTGTTGTCAATGGGTGTACTTAAATAAGCTCTGTTCACTAATTATCCAAACCATGGTGCGTGATTCCGGACCATCTTCTCTTTGAAGTAATTCTTGAGTCACAGCTACACAGGCGAATTTCACTCGAGGCCACATGTGAGGATATTCTTTTTCTTATGTCTACAGTGTTCAACACTGAGATGGGGAGAGGAGGGCAGATTATGCTGTGAACTGTCCTCTCTCCTTAACCAAAGGGTCTCGTTATTGAATCCTGATTTGCACATTTCATTTCTCTTAGGAATTTTCTAAAGAAGTGGATGCCAAGTCTTCTCTGAAGTCCTCTGTTCTGAGCACGGGGAACCAGCTTCTCCGCTTAAAGAAGGTGGACACAGCTGCCCTGCGGACCGAGCTGTCTCACATTGACAGCCAGTGGACCGAACTGCTGACCAGTATTCCCGCGGTCCAGGAAAAGCTCCACCAGGTAGCCAAGAGGCTGTTAGTTCAAATCTGCTTTGGCATACACATCGAATGGGCCTGGGCTCAGCTATCTAGCTTCTGACCTGCCTTCATGTTGCTTATTCAGTGGGACTGATCTACAGAGCTCGCTGCAGTTGCTATCTCCACCAGTTCATGGGCTTCTTTATCGTGTGAGATGTGTGTATGTGTATGTGCCCGTGTGTGCATGTGCACACATTGGAATCTTTGATCTTGTTTCAATTCCTACTTTTTTTTTTAACATTCAAACAGTGTATTGAACATTCTTTGAATATCAAAGTGAAAAATAGGAAGCAAGACTAGAAAGATGTTAGCAAGTAAGGACAGCTGTAAGCAGCGTGAAGCTGAAAGTGGCTTTGCAAGCTTCATTTCTTTGGCTTCTTGGGTAGTGGGCGGCGGAACAGCAAGATGTGAGGTTCTGGTTCATGGATCATATAACGGACCCGTCCCTGACTGCTGAACACTAAGATTCCTCCATTCAGATTCAGACATCAAGTGAGTTTTAGGGACAAGCTTGGCTATATCCTTGGGCAACATGACATGCCACCAGCACTTCTTATTGGTTCCTTTATTTCAAGGCAGGACAGCTCCACCCAATTCCTACTTTTGCAATAGTAAAAGATAAATTACACTTTCCTTGAGAAGTGAGTGATGAAGCTTTAACAATTTAATGTTGTTGTTGTTCTTAAGTGCCGTCGAGTTGTAGGCGACTCATAGCGACCCTATCAATGAAAATCCTCAACACTTGTCTGACTTTCATCCTTTCTCCAGGTTCACAGGGTTTCCGGAAGCAAGCTATTTATGGAAGTGGATGCCACTCCTGCTTCCAAGCTTGTTTTAATCGGGGAGCACCACCAAACACTGTCCACCATGGGTAACCATTATCACATTTGACACACTAGTGTCACAGTGTTCAGCTTCACAGCAACCACAAGTTACCTCTGAACAAGTGGACACACCAGGGCTATATGACTTAGAAGAATGTTTGAACAAAAACAATGGGGAAAAAAACCCACCAGGCCTTTGTGTTTTCATTGTTTTTCAAAACAAACAATTTCATAACATATTTAAAAGGCGTATCATCTTACCTACAATTTAGCAACAGGCATTTGATAAATGTCAGCACTCCTCTTTCTAGGAAGAATGTCCAGATATTTTGTCTTCTGTCTCTTTGACATGCATCCGTGCAAACCATGATAGCGGTTGTGTTTAACGTGTCCACTTAACCTCCCGAATCAGCTGCTGCCCATTCCTAAAAGGCACAAAACACGTCCTTGTCATATTTACACTCCTGAGCACTGGCTAGAAGACGATCTATAATTATTCTAAATGACTAATTTTTATTCTTCTTGTACGCGTTTCTAATAAATATCTGCATAAATATTTGGCTCACTAAGTAACATTCTGAGTTCTGAGTCTATTTTGGTTTCAGGACTTAAGAGATTGGCTTTGCTTTTAGGAGTAAGTATCAGAGTGCCAAGAATCTAGGAAATAATAGTCTGTAGTGCGATGTTTTTCTTTCTTCTTCTAACATTCTTCCTGAGTCATAATACACAGAGATTTTACAAGATAATTAATAAAATACATCTGTTGAGTGTTTTGTAGTTAGGTTTTTGAAACTCATAAAAATAGCTACAAAATAAGAATAATATTCTCAGTGATGTTTTGATTAATTAGCTATTGTTTATACAGTGTTTATAGTTGTGGATGTCAAGTGAGCATATGATGACTATTATTGTTCACCATTTGCCTGCTGTCTAATGTTAAGTGGCTTAGTGATAAGAAGTTGTGCTGCCAACCCAAAGGCTCAGAGTTTGAACCCACCAGCTGCTCTGTGGGAGAAAAGTGGGCAATCTCCCCCCTTATCATTAAATAGCCTCTAAAAACCAGGTTCTGACTTCATGGTACATTACAAGAGTGTTAAATTACAAAAACTCTATTAGAAAGCATCATCACTAAGAATTAACATAATGTGTTTATCTCAGCTGAGACGAAGCTTTCATTTCCACCCTGTGACTTGTTCTGTGTCTTCACTGGACAGCTGCAGATGGATAAGCTGCCTTCACGCCATGCCATCACTGAAGTCATGAGCTGGATTTCTTTAATGGAAAGTGTTATTCAGAAGGACGAAGAGAATATAAAGAATGCCATCGGACACAAAGCAATCCACGAATACCTTCAGAAATACAAGGTTAGGTTCTGAATGCCTTCAGAAATACAATGTACTAACACATGTTCACTTTTAACTGTTGATCTTGTTTTAAATTAATTTTAATGAACATTTATAGAGACTTTGGATTTTCATTCATTCATTCTTTGTTGCATTTTTCTCCCTGCCCACTCCTCTCCCCTAGATTGCTCTCCTCTTTGAAATTGTTGTTGTTGTTATGTGCCGTCAAGTTGCTTGC